AGAACATTCTCGGCGAGACTCCGTCCTCTTTAAAAGTTTTGTGCGATGTTTTTGCAAATATTGGTGCGAAGTGAAGTAAGACGGCTCGTACTCGGAGGCAGAAAACTTCGCATTCGATGCGTTTTTATTTGCAGCTCGTAAAAATATTCAATTTTTAACAACTCTTTATGGAACTGAACATATTTTTAATGTTATTTAAAAATCTAAAAATATGGTTATCATTAAATAATATAAAATTTAGTCCAAGTCATTGTGGCTACTACTTATTATACCTGTATAAAATTAAAATATCAAATATCTGCAAGTTAATAATGTCGTGCTAACAATTCTAAATTGCATCGTGCACGGCACAGTGGGAGTACCGAGGACGGACCGAAAGAATAAACGAATTGACGGTAATAGCTCATTTCCAGATAACAAAGAGTTCATTCAGGCAAACGGGGACCGGTAAATTGCTCTCACAGTCCGGACTCTATTAACTTATAGATCATTAATGTTTTAGACATGTGTGTCTCCGCGATTTCCTTTTGAATTCTAATAATATTCGATTTAAAGGGAAATCCATTGATAATAGTATTAAGGAAATTAGTAAGGTTTATATGATTATTGCTAAACTAATATAATTAAATAAAAATATACCTATTGTGTACTTTGAAAACCAATTAGTTAAGTATAGGAACTGAGAATCTATCCTTTCCAATTATAATATGGAAATCAAGATAAGATGAAGGAGATACCTAATGCTAAATTAATCTAAACGATAGATTACGTTTTTGGATTGAAATATTTATCGATTAATTTACATTAATTATCATACAAATTCGAAGACAGAGCTCTGCATCAGCTGATATTAAATGTAGCCAACGTTATAAACCAAAAACAGTGATGACTTATAGCTAGACGTTTAATATTAAACCCAGAGTAACGTAGAAACAGTGTAAATAGGTAAGTAAAGAGTGTGTAAACCAATTTATACTTTTGAAAACGCAGAAGCGTCGCAGTATGTAAATTTTGTTGAAAATTGTTAGGTATTTTCGTAGCGGAGAGGGTAGGCGGGTAGGCGAAGTTGACGCGTAGAGGACTCGGTAAACATTTGCTATGGGACGATTATGTTTTATACGCGATGGTTTCGGGTTTTATATTCGTTGCAAACATATCACGTTGTTACAAACTTACATTTTATTAAAATACAACTGTCACGTGCGACTTCATCCACATGAAATTATAACGAAACTTTCTTTTATTGTTTGTCAAATTCTCAATTGCAAATATCAAAAGTACCGTTACCATAAAATCTTTGCTTCATTAATGTTGTCAGCTTGTAGTTAATGTTCCCTTTCTCACTTGAAGTTTTTCAAATATTATTACCCCTTAAGTTTGTGTGTGAAATATACAGCCAAAAGCGTGTCGTAAGTGTAGGGCTTTTTATTAGGTAAAGAGAGGATTTTTCAAAAACATGCTGTGATTGCTGACATCCTACGCCACTAAGTAGTGTGTGTTTACGCTTTATTATTAGAGTAAAAGGCGACTTTAATTCATTTATCTTAAAAGCCTGTCGAAACTAACTTAGTACAGGAGTGAAGAGTAGACTAGTAATGTTAACAAACGTTAAGGTAATAGTTACTTACCGCTGCTTAAAACCAGTATAAAACCAATTGCTACATCTAGTTATCTCTGTTTTTAAAAAAGGGGTAACAATATTCTGGTTCATAAAAAAATGTACATATTTCTTCAGGAAATTATAATTCCGTACTTTGATAAGTAGCAATAAAAATTTCTTTATACTTAGTACTTAATTAGTAACGCTTGTATACTTTGTAGCTATTTGCACTTTTTGCGAAATGCTTTGCTCGTGACGGGAATAAAAGGAACTCTTTGACGTTTTCCTTTGCTATAATTAATTAACAAGCTGCTTGAAAGAGAAATACATTTTTCGAGTTACACCTGTTCTTTTATCAATCAAGTTATCTGCCATCTGTTTTGAAGGTAATGTTGCAACATACGCGACAAAACAGATGACGCAATATTTAATTCTTACGATACTTAGGACCTGTCCCACCACTGGCTGATAAACGCTTAGATATCTTAAAAATGTCCTCACTGTCAGAGAAGGGAACAAAATCCGACATTTCCATCACATATTTTACACGTTGGATTGTTTTACACAATTTACAATTTGGTGGGACAGGCCCTAACGATCAAACATCAGAAACGAAATACTACTTTAAATATATAAGGCGTGGTTTCTTTTGAAACAAATTGTATGATATATTTTTAAACCGAATAATAACTAGCTATAAAAAAGACAACACCTTTTTTGTTTAATTTTTATCGTAAAGTAAATGGGTTGCGTAAATTCCAAAATTAAATTCAACTAATGGATATCCATTTGTTCTAAATTTCATAATTAGAATGAAGATGAACGTTTAGCGTCTAATTTGTGCGGAGACAAAAGGTGTTGGTCGCAATTAGTGGAATGGCCGCTGAGAACAAAGCGAAGTGGCTTCTGCAGAGGCTCAGGGAGGGCTTTTTCTTTACTTCCAAATGAGCAAACTACAGTCGCTAGTAGGGAATTGTTGTTGAATGAAGGGCGCGCGTGTGTATTGTTCTTTTGGCATGGTTTGGAAAGCACTTGAGGCCCGTTGTTCTAATCAAGATGACGTAAGGGGTGAATGTTTGTATATCCGTTTTGTTCCTGGCGTCGCTATTGTTTTTTTTATATTGTTGTGGAGAATTGCCTTGTTTAAGTTGTTTGTTAAATTTTGAATAACTTTATCTTTGCTTCTTGACTAATTTGAAAGGCTTTCATCTTCCCGGAATTAATATGCGTGTATCACTCAGTAATAATGTAGCTTGCAAATGACAAAAGAACTTTTGAAATAGTTTCAGTAATTTTTAAATCTTTATTATATTGGTATAGAAAAGTGATGATCAAAGCAAGGTGTGTCACTAATTTACATATCTTAGAGTTATTCCAGCTTGTAGTTTTTGCTTCTGATTGAACTCTGTAGAGATTGCACGTTTTAATTTTATTGTTGTGTGCCAGCAGTAAACAAAACTGATTCGTACTTTATAAATAAGCTGGTTTAGTGTTTTTTTTTAATTAAAATACTTTAAAACATTGTACATTTTTTGCGGCAGCGTGTTATCAATTTCAAAAAATAATTTATTATAGAAAACGCTCAAAATGATGTAGACAGTGTTTAGTCGAACGCTTGTATCAATAACGTGTTAGCAATCAGCTTTGTGGCAGCGCTACAGGATAGCTTGTTTGAATAACTAAAATGCAGGCAAGCGAAATTGGATTCCGTTAAACGTATGCTGATAAACATATGTATAACTACATATGGCTCGATGCAATCGCGATGCTAAAATGGGAGGAAAATACAATTTTATTGCGAACTGAAGCGCTGGATAAATGTATTTATCTGAACTTGCAACGGAACTTTAAATGCGTTAGCAAATTTTAGGTAAAAGCGTCTAAAAGCCGTCTCACGTAATTTTATTACTTTTGATACACCTATCCTTTTTACGTCAGCAGATACTCCAGTCAAACATTATCGTATTAAACGTTTATGTAATTTGGGTAATATGATTTATTAATAGCAAAAATGCGCGTGTGGTTATTTGCCGCTCATAAATTTCATTATTCAACAGTGAACGAATAAAATCAATATATTAGGTACTAATTAAGTGATAAATTACAAAAGAATTTCATTCATCTTTTTAGATAGACATGCCACCTTAAATACAAGAATTAAGTTATGCTTGTAACGATCAATTATAAAAATAATTGTTATTTACAAAGTTCTTCATAATGTAACGTAAAACAAAGTTAATATATCGAATGAGTATTAATCCAGACGTTTTCCCGGAAACCTTTTATTGCAAATGTTAGCAACTTGAATCGTCACACGCGAATAATAGCGCGGTAATTCGTTTTTGATGTCTGTCGCGTATACGGCGGGCGGCGAGCTAATCAAAATATATTGCCGCGCACTTTATTTCGTGCGGGCGCTTGTGGGTAGCGACGACGGCAACGCGAGTGCAGCACGTTTTGTTCTCCCTTTACACAATGCTTAGGTGCTATATATTATATGAACATTATTACCTTGTTAACGAGACGGATATTTAACACAGTCTACCACAAAGATTCAAAACATATATGGAGTAAGCGTAGTTGAAACTTCACTAGAGATATTTTCACATAATCATCACTTACACTATCTGTTGAAAACCACGAAACCACATTTCAATACAATTAATCGTATGTAAATTAATTGTCAATAGGTGTCATTAATATTTGAATGTTTGTTTTATTTTAAGCTGGAGGTTATAATAATTTTGTAAAATGTCAATACAGACTTGAAGTGGCGTAAGAAAGTTGACAACTGATAGACTACTTGTCGGAGAAATTACCGGTATAAAATGTTGTTCACTATGCCTAGTCTATTATATTTTTTAAATGTCTTTGGTCTGTATAGTAGGCATTATGTGATATCAAGTGTGATAATTGAATTTATCAATTTAAAAGAGTTGAACTACTTAATTTAAATTAGAAAAGCTAAATAAAATGTGTGTCGCGTAGTTATTAAAGTAGTACGCATTATAAATGAAGATAAGTTAGAGAATGTAATATCACTACGTAATTTTATATCTAACTTCATGCATAAAAGTGTAACTTTAACCTCAATTAAAAGTTTAACTATAAATCAATCGGCGACGGAAAATGTTGCCGTGACGTCGGTTGAAAATGCACCCTAACGGCCTGCCGTAGTTCACTACCGTAGGTTATTTTTGCGCAGACGTAGCTGCCGCGATTGCAGCGCCATGCGCTTTCGACGCGAAACTTTTGACAGGCGGCTAAAATGGCCGTGCGATCACGCGATCTGGCGCGCTGAATTTACTACGCAAGTATTACGATAAAGTATTTTCATTAACACCGGTGCGTCGAACTATGTTATAATATTTTTATATAAACTTTTTGTATTATAAAGTTCGTGTGAGAGGTAAAAATGGCGCTTCACCTCGAAACGACGTTGCAGCGAAAGTTAAACTTCAAGATGACCACGGTAAGTGCATACCGGCCGCTTCGGCGCATATCGATCGGCCGCCACGACCGCGTGGCGGAACATATGTTTGCTACGGCGCGATGGCGTAGCACTGTAACTTCGTCGTAGTTTTCAACTACTACTTCCGCGCTGCTATTACCGGCTTCATAACAACAATATTACGTGCCGAATGCGAGCTATCGCCCTACTGTTTATTTTCCTCGAGTGCTCACAGAAAGTAAATAAACACTTGTAGATGTACACTCAACCAGCGGTGTATTAGAGTGAAGTTAGTATCGACGACTTGCTCGGTACACTTTGACATTTCTTATTATTCAACGTCACGAGTAGGCGTACAGCTGAGATCATATGATTGTAGTATTTAAAGGTTAACGAATACGTGACGTCGTAAAATATGAACACGACTCTTTACAGTTAACGAACGGTTTTTATTCCGGTGAACTTTTAAAGCGTTTTAAACTTTTATTTTGTGATTTTGAATAACAATAATTATTGTAAATTAAGATCCTAACTATTCGCGTTTTACTTTAGTCTTTCGTTTGTATTTAGCAAATATATTTTAGTTGTTATTCTATATCCTTTGTTTTAATTATTTTACGAATGTAGTGGAAACAATTTACCTGTATTAGTAATTCCATTTATTTTACCTCAGTTATAAATGACAATAAAACGAACACTGTTGACCTGCGCTTGCGCAATATTGTAATGCAGTCGCACATTTTGTATGGTGTCTAGATTTTTAACTTCTCTTAAAATATCAAGATGTATTATGGACCTATACTACATAGGTATATAACAGTTATATGCATATTTTCCACATGCATAGAAATGTCAACGCTGTATAACATTTTTCCATTGTTAATCGTAACGAGAAAGTTTTCAACAAGCGCGGAAATGTAACACTCGACATTTCCAACGTAAACTACGATACATGTAAAATAAAAAAAGTTATTCTATTAACATAATTGGTATACATAGTTATTGTTTCTTTGGCTTAAGCTGCAATACCTGTCTAGGTTTACTCTATTCAGGGGAAATGACAATAGTGTTCCCATATTAATAGGTATTTTTATAAAAAAAATTGTACATTGGTAACAAATTGTTATTTTTTTAATACATTTTTGAATTATAAAGACGGGTAGATGATTACATTGTTTCGTCATTCCACATAATATGAGAAATAGTTAAAATCACAAGGGACATAAATAATTTGCAGAAACAATAATTCATCTGGTCTACTTGATGTAACGTCATATTTTGCCACAAGTGGTGGCTCTTGTACAAAGTAGACAGACGGCGAGCTGCGGTATTTTCATTAAATAGAAATTCTACGTGTTGATTTTATGGCGAAAGCGGTTGTAAAATCCTTAATCTCTTTTAATAGGATTTTACTATTCGACACCAGCGACGGTTTCGACACGTTTTTATTGTTTTTGATTTGAAAGCTCGATGTGCCAGCGTACTCAAGTGAATTCAGATGGAAGGGTTGAATTAAATACAGTCATTATCTTGAAAGGTTTACTTACGTCTAATGAACGTAGCGGTTTATAATGTACTAGCAGTTGCCCGTGACTTTGTTTGCGTGATATTAAAATAAAAACACTTTCTAGTAGTAAATATAAGCGTAGGTTACTGAGTGACAATGTAGGTTCCGAACAATGAAACTATTTTTCAAATCGGTTCAATAGTTTCTGAGTTTCATATTCAATGCAAGGAAACAAGTTTAAGTAATAGGTAGTCTAAACTAACACTTACTAACAAACATATGTATGAGCCTTCTTATTACTTAACCGCCTTGAATGAGATTACGAAATTAACTTACAATCCTTAACTATACCATAAAGAATTGACGACTGTTAACAATAGAACTCAACGGAATACGTAAGTAAAACTTAATAATCAGAGGCATGAAATTCGCGATTCGCTCGCAACGCTCCAACGTCGCTTGCTCGTTCCTCTCAAGCCGATTACTCGCAGGCCTCTTAGCGACGGTACTTACCACTTGTTTGTTGTTCTTAATGAGCAACGCCAGCCAACTTTGGCCTGTTCTCGCCTCAATTAAGACTAAAAACATGACTGGGCCAACGTCTCTTTTCTTGATACCCTTGACGCTCATGAGACTCGAGTGAAGTCAACTCGGAAATTAAACTTTTGTGTTAAATGTAAGAACTCTGGTTCTTATCGATTACGTACATTACGTAAGTTGACACATTTAGATTCAATATAGATCGATTGAATTAGTTTATAAAGGACTCGCTGTTCCCGAGCGGCTTCATCCGAATGAAATTATGAAAATATTATTTTACTAGCTTTAGCTCACGACTCCGGCAAAAAAACAATAATAAGTAGCCTCGCAACCCCCGTGGCCTGCAGTGCTCAGGACACGCATTTCAGAGTCCCCCCTGAAGGACCCTGAGCGGCCTCCCCGCTGGACCGGCGTCGCGGCACAGGCCAGCCGGCGGGGCAACCGGCGTGACCTGTGCGCTAAGCCGGTCATGGTTCCTCTTAGCTTCATGCTGGGTTACCAAGCCACGGCTACTAGGGCCCCAACGGCACGACAAGGCGGGAACCGTCGGTGGGATGATCGCTGACATCCTACTCCTACGCCACAAAGTAGTGTGTGTTTACGCTTTATTATATTAGTATAGAGTAGCTGTTGTTGGCCCGCGTGAAATTAAACAATAATAAAATATATAGCCTATGTTACTCACAGATAAATGACATTTCAGATTGTTAGGGAATTTTAAAATCGACCCGGTAGTTTTTATGTGAATCAAATACATACAAAAATACATATATTTCCTGCTCATAATTTTAGTATAGATATATGAACCTTCTAAGTCCGAATGAACGTGGATAGCTATAAAGATAAAGAAAGACGAAATGAAACTATGATGGATAGCGTAAGATGGGAATATATGTATTCAGATATGACGACTGATGAGACTGCAAAACAACATAACGTACTCAGTCCTGTAATAACGTCTAATTTTTTTTTATTTACTTATTGGAACTAACTGTTAATACAGTACCACTAATATATAGTATGCTATTTGTGTTGGAATTCTTAGGTCTTTGTCCGGCTACACGTGCGAGTCACAAGTCACCACACCCAATCATCTAACGGTACTAACTCATCGCAGTTAATCAAACGATAGTTTTGAATACAACAATCTACAAATGGACAGTAAAAATACTCGTTTTGAAAATGTTTTTTGTAATCTAAACAAATTGACTCTAAGTTTTAATTCAATATTACTCTAAAAATATATTTATTGTAATTTCTGGATCCATTTATGATTTTTATTTTGCATAATATCCAGCGTTTGCTTTTCAGTGTTAAAGTAGCTTCCTAATAGTAAAGAATTTTTGATGTTTACCCAGAAGTTTTTAAGTTTACAAATTACATACAAAAACATCTTTCGTTTTTAAAATAAAAGTATAAATTTAGACAAATAGGTTTTCGACATGAAACTAAAAGAAAACTGGTTCATTACTTAGTTTTACTGCTTGAAACAATTTGTACGCATTTAAATTTTCCTATGTCCCATTTGTTCGATTTATACTTTGTGCAAGATAAAAGGGTTATAAAAATTTTGCCCCGAGTCATATATGAAGGTAATATTTAAAAGTATCGAGTCGTGATATTGAAGCATCAGTCTACGTAAGTTTTCAATTTATAAGATATTTTATTTTATGCAAGAAAGGCACGCCGTGATACAGAATACTATCGGCGAATATAATAGGAAATGTTCCGTTTCTATGCATTTTGGTGTTAAAAGCGAATGAAGTTGAAAACAACCTTATATGTCGCTAGCGTTAAATCTGTGGAGTAGTCAAATATAATTTGATTGAAACTGACAATATGAAATTCAAGAGTTTTTGATAAGGTTGCATGCGTTAGGTTTTCGACCGACTCGGCTATAGTATTGAAATGAAAATTATTTGCTATGATTACTTAATACATAAACATCGTAACATATTGAAAGTTCATTGTACAAATGGCACGTGTTAGATCGAACGCGGTGCGATGTGCCAACAATTAATATACCTATCTGAATTCGACTATAAATAGATTATTATGTTGGTATCTGTCGGGTCGGCTGTTGAACCGCGAGGCTCCGGAGGGAGGTGCGTCCCTTACAATCAAGACCAGTCTATTTTCATTGCCGTCCTGTCTATTGTTAAATTCTATTTAACGTCAATTCTGATGTTAACAATTCTTGTATGGACGGATGTATATCTATGTATTTTTTAAACTTATGATACGTGTATTTTTCACAACTTTTACTGCTAAGGCACCAGAACGTCTCCACCTCTTTGTATAGATGATTTGACCATTAAAAATACATCGAGATGTACCTCCAGAAATTAGAAATTTTAGAGAGATATTAATAAAGGTACGAGTTTAATCGCTCTCGCATCTTCTCTAAAAAAACTCAGTAATGTTTTATAAAAGTAATATTAAATACCGCGCATATTCTCGACTTAATTTCTATATTTCATATGTTTGTACGGTGTCGGGGAAGGTGGCGCGGCGGCGTATTTTAGCGGAGGTAAATTCAAAAGGACTACAAAGAGTCGTAGACTAGTCACGTTCTATACGGCCAGACAGACATGCCAGCAGAGCCGTATTCATTTACGAAAAATATTACTTTAACTGTATATGAGGACTACGATTGTATATCTTATATTATTCTTTGTAGTTGATATTATATAGAAACAACTGCCAAGTTAACGGTTCGACCGAATTAGAAATGCAAGTTGTGTGTTCTTCCCGGTTAAGACGATCAATTGTGCATTGATTTTATAGTTATCAATATATCTTATATCTTTTTTTAAAACAACTCTCTATTCTTCCAATTGGTCATTCTACTCTTATTATGAAAGAGGTCATAATAGTACATTTGTACAAATACAAGCGAAAGTCACAGACTAAACATTTTATCAGTATATTTAAGTTATTTTACACTAGAAGGCAATGTAAATGCAACATCTAG